GAACCGGGGATTGAACTCAGGCCCTTGCTGCTTGCCAGGCAAGCGCTTATTCTACTGAGCTATCTCCCCTGCCCCAAGGAATTTTTTTTTTTTTTTTTTTTGCTGGCTCAGAATGCCTTAAGGACAGGTCTGGTAAATTCTGAGGATCTGGGGATCAAACCACAGAATCCTGAGCTTGACTGCTTTGCTTAAGCAGGCACTTAACTGAGCTAATGGGCAGGCTCCCTTTCTTGACATTTAGTAAAGGTAAAAACCATGTTTAAATGTTTAAATTTTGCCCTTAGTCCTTACTTATCTCTGAACCTAACTGCATAACAAATTTAAATATCAAAGAAATGATAAGAATTATGGGAGTGCCTGTCCTTTGTTCTATGTCTGACTACTCTGATGTTGTCTTTTGGATTGGTAGCTTAAAAAGTACTTTTCTTTTTAAATGTATTTGGTTGTTCATGGTCTCACTATGCAGCTGGGACTTGTGACCCTCCTGCTGTCCGCCTCTCCAGCGCTGGAATTACAGACACACAGCCACCACAGCCGGACTGTCGCCGGCTCAGTCCTCCCTGGGGTCTGGGCTGGTACAGCATATGGTGCCAGGGAATCAAACTGCAGTCCCTGCGCTTGCCTAAGCTTGCTTCAACAGGCACTTTAGTCCACTGAGCTATCTCGCCACCTCAAAAATAAAGGTGGTTCGGTTTGGTTTTGTGGTAGCAGGGATGGAACTCAGGACCTTGTGCTTGCCAGGCAGATGATTATGCTGCTCAGCTGTCTCCTCAGCCCTTAAAAGGTATTTTTCTTAAAATAGAAAGTGTCATTACATAGAATATTTTTGTTTTGAATCCTTGAACTGCTCAAAAGGAAGAAAAATAGAAAAAGATCTCTCAGCTCAGACCTGGTGGAACACACCTATAACCCCAGCATTTGGGAAGCTGAGGCAGGAGGGCTGTGAGTGCAAGACCAACCTGGGGGGTGCGGGGAGATAGCTCAGTAGAGTAAGCGCATGCCTGGCAAGCACAAGGGCCTGAGTTCAATCCCCGGTTCCGAAAAAAAAAAAAAAAAAAAAAAAAAACCAGCCAGGGATACCTAGTTTGACCCTGTCAGGAAGAGAGGGGGAAGGGAAAGGAAGAGGGAGAACCCCACAACTTTAGTTTTAACAGGTGTTGCCCAGGTACTTCTGACTTTTGTGGACCCGTGGTGGCACTAGCAATCCCTGACGTCACCACAGGAAGATAGTTCTTAGGGAGTGAAGTTGTTTTTTGTACCCCTCAGTGAATGTGGCCCAAGACCTCTTCCCCATGCCTCCTCTTACTCCTGTCTCCTGGTAATGATGGAACCACAACATTACTCCTGAAATACAGTATGACAGGTCACTGTGCTGAAGACAAAAGAGCTCTGACTTGTTCTGTTTACCTAGATTTTTCCCTCTGCCCCATTTCCCTCTGGAACACAGGATATGAATTCTCCTTCACAAGCTTTTCCAGCTCAGAGACGGCCCCAGAGCAATGGATTCTGGCTGTAGCCTGCACCCTATTCATTTCTCATATATATTTTTTCTGTGTCTGTAACCAAAAACCTGACATAATCAACTTCAAAAGAGGAAAAGGTTGATTTTGGCTCATGGTTTGTGGCGGTTTCAGTTCACGGCCAGTTGTTCCCGGGGCTCCTGCGTCTGGGGCTCTGGCACAACGAGCAGCTCGTCACTGGAGGTGGTGGAAGCAGAGGGGGACAGGGCGGGGCTGGGTCCCAGCAGTCCCTGCGAGGACACGCCCCCGTGACCTCACTTCCGCCCACTCAGCCCCCACCTCTGGAGGGTTCTCACAACTCCCAACAGAGCTGGCTGCTGGGGCTCCGGCCTGTACCTGCCGTACTTTTGGAAGCCTGGAGCTGCATTGCTTCAGCCTCCTGCAGTGCTGGTATGTGCCACTGCACCTGACTCGAATTACTTTTGAATTGAGGTTCTGCCGTGCAATGGGGCCTGCTCACATGCAGTTGCTTGTTTTCTCTTGCTGCGTGCCTTCTGGTACAGTTAGTTGACCTCTCCTCCAACTTTTGAGGGTTGAAGAACTTTCGATTTCTTCCGGATTTGAGGCGCTAGGCTCCAGTAGGCGACAAGGCAGGGGTGACCGAAAGTTAGGTCTGGGGCTGCTTGCCTGACTCTGCCCTGTCTTCTTGGTGCCTCCTGTCTGGGGCTTCCATGCCCACTTGCATGTGACTCATCTGTCGGCTCAGCCTATCCTTGCCTGCTGCTGCTCCCTGGAGTCGCTTCTGGTGTTACCCTTGCCAGACCACCCTCTTCCCTGAGCCGTTTCGCATGACTAGAACCTTATAGCCAGATGCACCCGGGATGCATTCCTTGGTGAGCCGTGCCACCCCCTGTTCCTTTGTGTTCCGCTAGCCCTTCGTCACCCAACAGAGCACCTGTCACCAAGAAGGGCGAGTGGATGGCAGTGTCCCTTGCTCTCCTGTGGATTCTTTGAGGATAAGAACCAGAATTTAATTAGCATCCTGGCTCCGGCCTTTGCTTGTGGTACTAAGCACTTAGTGTGTGCTAAGTGATGCTGTACCTGGATTATAAAGGTATGTAGATTTAACTTTTGTAACAACAAGAGCAAATAGGTGGCTCGCACGATGTGCTTCAACAAAGCGGGAGGTGTGGATGTCTATTCCTTCGGATCGCGTCAACAGCGGAAGTTCTTTCCTCCGTACCACCCTCCAAACCAATTGGGGAATTGCTTCCTTCCCCTTAGAGGATTGCCCGACGTAGGACCTGGGCGTTACATAGCAGAGGATAATGGGCTGACCTACAAGCTGTCTAAGATTCCGACGAGTACAAAAGGGTATGCCCTTGGAGCCAGAACTGCTGCGAGGTTTAAGCCACTCAGTAAGGATGTGACACCTTACCCAGGCAAGTACCAGAGGGTAACTACTTCAGAGGAAAAACACAAACAAAATTTTGTTCCATTTAATGTCTTGCTACCTCGATCTGGAAAATGTTCAAAGGACATTTCTTCTTATCCTGGCCCTGGTGCTTACAACCCAGAGAAGAAGGCACCCCCAAAAGTTGCTTGGCCAATGAAATTTGGATCTCCAGACTGGACTCAGGTTCCACGTCTGCAGAAAAGAACCTTAAAAGCTGAGCTGTCCACAGACAGAGAGTTTAGGAAGCATCGGAACCATGTCGCCTATTTCAGACTGTTCTACAACTGAGATGTGGTCACTGTCTCCACGCGCTCCTCCTGACTACAGAATCTTCAGGATTGAAAATGGGCCTGCTCTTCTCCTCCTGCATTGCTGTGGCCCTCTGCCAGCTTGGGGCCTAGGGAGGAGCAAGGGGCTCGTAACTACTATGTGCAAGCATAATAAAGACTAATTCAGAATGCTCTAAAAAAAAAAAAAAAGCAAATAGGTTATTGTTTCTATTTACAGGTGAGGAAACTGAGGGACAGAAGCAATCAGGAGACTCCTTGGTCTAGAGCAAATAATGCAGAAGCCAAGATTGTATCCAAAACCTAGGAGATATCAACTTATACTTCTATCCTGTGTGCTCAGATTCCTCTTCCTGGGCCTTTGCAGGCAAGAAAGAACTACTGCTGCAACACATCCCCTACCTCAGTTACTTCTTATACTAATTCATAATAGAGAATTAATGAAGGAACTAAAAATGACTAATAAAAGATAAGGGTCAGTTTATTTAGCATTTTAGAGTAATTAGATGCACAGATGTTAATTTTTCAGGTAATTAAAATTATTCTCTTTCATCCCCCACCCCCTGTCTTTTGAGGCAGGGACTTTGTTTTTTTGCTGGAATGCCTTCAGGGCAGGTTTGGCTGGCTTGAGTTGTGGGGATCCAACCACAGCAACCTGAGCCTGACTGCTTTGTGGAAGCAGCCACTTAAAGAACTGAGCTAAGGGGCAGGCCCATGAGGCAGGGACTTTTTGATGCAGTTCAGGCTGACCTTGAATTTACCATGTAGCCCGGGCAGGTCTTAAACTCTCAGCTGTCCTCCTGTGTCAGTCTCCTGAGTGCTGGTATTGCAGGCATACACCACCATGCCCAGCCTTGATTTTCATCTCTTAAACTATTTTTAAAATTATTTCTAAAATGAAGCATATGTTCTCCTGACTAAATAGTTCATGGGGCATAATTGAGCCTTATAACTAGGACCGTGTCTGTGATTAGCAAATGTTAAACTGTAATCTGAGATTTATTCACATTTTAATAAATAAGGAATATTCAGGCATTTTACGGTTCTTTGGTTAGTGTAATAGGCCCATGATTTGTTTCTTATTAGTGCGTGTCTGTGATAATGAATACATTCTTCTTGGGGGCTTAGTACACTTACATACTGTACTTTTTCACTTTGCCTTTCCTTTCTCCCCTGTCCTCCATCTCTAGAATTGTTTTTGTTTTAAACTTTTCTTTCTGTCTGTCTGTCTTTCTGTCTTTCTTTTGGGTCTCACTGTGTTGCAGGCTGGCCTTGAACTCACTGTGTAGCCGAGGCTGGCCTCTCACAGGTGGCAATCCTTCTGCCTGCCCTTCCTGAGGGCTGGGATTACAGATGTGCAACACCATGCCTGGCCTCTGGGTGTTTCTTTGATGTGTTTCTGATAGTTTCTTTTGTCTTCTCTGATCCAACCGGGTAGTTACTGGTCACTGCTTGCTCCCAATCTGCTACCAGTGCCTTGCTGCTTTTACCTGAGTGTTGTTGATCACCTGAGAAAAGATTTATGTCACCAGATTTGTTGTCATTAGCCAAAACCCTTACCCATGTGCTTTCTGTCCAAGCGCTGCCAGAGAGATTGGAGCGCATGGGAAGGAAATAGTTTCCCGAGAAGAGTCTGGGCCACTTTTCCTTCCTGCCTTCATCTCCAGATTTTAAAGGCTTGGTTTCTGAAGTCACTTTGAATAATTATTATATTTGGAATGTTATGTTGAAAGAGGTAACTTTGATACTGAAAGAAAGGGAAACATTTTATTTTCAAATAAAATCTTTTTCTTTTAGGGAAATCAGAAACAAGGCAAATATTCAATTTGGAGATAATGGAACAACAATATCTGCTGTTAGCAACAAGGCTTATGTTTTTGAACGAAACCAATCTGTTGGAGACCCTGAAGTTGATTTAATTAGAACATTAAATATTCCTGCTTTGGTAAGTATTTCTAGTATCATATTAATACAATTTAATATCATTTGTGAAGTTTAGAAGAAAATAAAAAGGTGAGACAACTAATGTTTTTTTTTTTTTTTTCCTGAGATTTATCAAAGCCTTTTCTAGTCATAATAAAATAGTTTTTCTTTTGTTTGCACAGTTTCTTGTGTGTGAGGGATTAGCCCTTGTGCAAATGAATATGGATGTTTTGGAGTAGTTTGTAATTTAAAACATTTCTTTGCCCTTTTGTCTTAGAAAGTGTAGCAGTAGATAGCTAGCTAGCTAGCTTGCTTGCTTACTTGCTTGCTTGCTTGTTTTCTTGTCTTTTTGAGAAAGGGCTTCATTATGAAGTTCAGAGTGGTCTTAAGCTCACTTTGTAGCCCAGGCTGATCTCGAACTTGCAGTGATCCTCCTGCCTCTGCCTCCTGAGTGATGGGATTGCGGGTGTGTACCACCATACCCAGCTGTGATACCATCTTCATCTTACATCTTAGTTCGGATTTCTGTCTTCCACATTTCCCCAGTAATAAGAACTAACCAGGAAACCATCAGCCTTGAAAGCTAGAGATCAAGGATGCCAGGAGGATCGTCCTCTCCCTGCTTTACCTGCAGTCACTGTTCTCTCCCTGGATCCTCACTAAGGCAGATATGACAACGACTGGCAGATGGGGCTGGCATTTTTGATCTGTAGTTTTCAAGGCTGATTGTTTTCCGTTTAGGTGTTATTTTCAGAGAAATCGGGGTTGTATTTCATTTTAATATTTTTTTTTTCTGTATTTTAGGGAAGGGTCTACAGGGTGTTCAGTCCAATCTCACTAGTAGATTGGACTTGTAGTGATTCTCCTATTTATAGCCTCCTAAGTGCTGAGATTACAGGCGCGTGCCACCACGCCGACTCAATCGCCTTCTCAGTGCAGCTCCGGAGCGGGGCCAGCACAGCAGGCCGGGGAATGGAGCCCTGGTCTCTGCGCCAGCTTGCAGGCACTTTAATGCGCTGAGCTATTTGGCAGGCCCAGGGGTCGTATTTTAAGTTAGCAAAATATATGAGTTGATTACTTCCTTCTTCATCAAACAAAGCCTGGGCTGTTGATTAAAGCCCACTCTCGCTTCCTGGACTGGGGATTGCACCTTATAATAACACATCCTGTACTATCCTGAGAGCCCAGAAACATTCTTAGCTTCCCTCGTATCCTTGGCGGTTGCCACTGCAGTTCCTAGCGCCGCGATGATAGAAGGTGACTCAGAGACTGGGACCCCAGGTCCTCCCAGGGCTGCGGAGCTGATAAGCACCAGGCTCCTGCCCAGCCCAGGGGAAAGGGCGCCACCTCGTGGCCACAGATGCCAGCATCGCCAAAAGAGCTTTCCCGGCTGTGCAGTGTAATTGTTTGCAGATGGGAAGCAAAGTTCTCCCTTAAGAAATGTGACAGAAGGCCAATGACCCAAGAGCCTTATTCGCTTCTATTTGCTCCCAAAGAGGAGCTGGCTGGCTGAGTTTTCTGTCATTACCCCGTGTCATAGCGGAGGGGGTGACGGGGTGGGCTGCAGTGGGCGGGCAGGCCCACAAGGTTCCTGTGTCCGCAGATGGCCATGGAGTGGACGCAGAACCCCCTGCTCCAGGACATCATCAAGGCTGTGCTCAAGACCTACAACCAGAAACTCTTCGCCACACATACTGTGCATGAGCTGCTCTGGGGCTACAAGGACCAGCTCCTGTCGCTCGTCCATGTGTTCAGACCCAACATCTCCTCCTCTTTTGGCCTGTTCTATGAGGTGAGTGGGCAAGCGCATCCCAGCCAGATTGTGTGTGTGTGTATGTGTGTGTGTGTGTGTGTCTGTCTGTCTGTCTGTCTGTGTGTTTGAGACAGGGTCTCCCTGTGTACTTCAGGCTGGCCTTGAGCATGTTATAGCCCAGGATGGTCTTGAGCTCCCAACAGGACTGTCGCAGCCAAATTGCACCCGAACGTGCTTTCTGTTAGGAGACTCCCGCAGCCTGGAGTGCTGGACAACAGGTCTGCAGATTGTGTGAAAAGTAAGAAAGGAGGTGTGGACAGGCAAGCAGGCAGTGATAGAGATGCACACTTGTACTCCTAGAATGTCCCTGGCCTCTCTTATAGGGGGTGAGAGAACCGTCCCCCTACCTGGATTTAAACCTGATGGGCTTCCTAGGATTGTCCTTCAATTCAACTGGGCACCCCTGTCTGTGTCATTCCTCTGGTGGCCTTTGTATAACTTTTCTGTATTTGTTTGTCTTTGAGAGGGCCTCACCTACCAGGTGGGAAGTCAGGAGGTTAGGCGTTGTATTATTCATGGTTGGCTTAGAGTTAGCACAGGATATCTATTGGAGTATTAAAGTGACCTTCTGATGGATAATATATTGACCCTAGAGTACAAGCAAACTTGAATTCTTTCCATGATTCTGGTTGAACACTGATTGAAACATAATGGTTAGGTTCATTGTTGATCTAAGAGGGAAATTTGATTCATTTCTTTTTTATTTTTATGTATTTAGTACAAGGTCTGCATGATCTCACAACACAGATCAGACTTGTAGTGATTCCCATTTTCAGCCTTCCGAGTGCTGGGATTACAGGCATGCACCACCAGGCCCAGTCTCTATCTTCGTTTTAGTGGGCTCTGGGGGCAGGGCTGACATGGCATGCTGGGGATCGAACTCAGGCTGCTGCACTCTGCCTAAGCAGGCACTTTAATCCGATGAGCTATCTGGCCAGCTCCCTGATTCATTTCTTATCCAGTTGGGTTTGTGACCAGAATCATGGAAAGAATTCATTTCATGAACCAAAGTACCACTCTGTGTGTTTGTGTGTGTGTGTGTGTGTTATATACTGAGTGAGGTGTGAGTACACACTGAACAAGAGCTTTCCCTGAAGTGCCCCACCCCCAGCTTCCCCACATTTGATTAGAGGTGGGGTGTGGCAGGACAGCTTGTCTTGATCCCTTGGCTTTGTGTCCTTGGCTTTCTTTGTACTCTGCCTGTTAGCTCTTTCTTCCTCTGGAGAGTTTCAGGGCCCCCTGTGCCATCTCCAGTCCAGTCCTTAAGACTGCTCCCAGGGGAATTTTTCTAGTAAGTAATTTCTCCTTCTAGGCAGGGTTAGCTTCAAAACTAATGAATCCCTTACCCTGTTCTTTCCCTGCCTCCAGACCCCTATCCCAATGACCATACTTCATGTGACTGGGAGGGTTATCTGAGATAATTCATGCAAAATTTTAGAACTAATACTAAGAATGTTACATAGATGTTCCTCCTTAATTACTGTCTCACTTTTTTCTCTATCTGACACACAGTACCTGACATCCAAGGTCAAAGGAGGAAAGCCTTATTTGGCTCACAGTTTATGGTGGTTTCGGTCCATAATTGACTGGCTCCAAGGTAGGGTGGATGGCAGAGGAGCAAGAGTTCAGGGCTATGGAAGACAGCAAAAGCACCTAGAGCACAAGGGGCAAAAAGGAGGAGCAAGCCCCATGCTGTCCCTTATATCAGAGTGCAGGCTGACCGCCCCTTGGTGGGTGCAGCACTCACACTACCAATCCCAGCACTAGACAATGAACCACTTACGAACCAGATTCAGGGGGCTCCAAAAAGCCTGCCTCCCATGACCTCCTGAGACTTGGAGGGGACATCTAGACACAAACCATAACAGTGACCTACCTGCCTAATGACTACTGGACTTAGAACTGAGGTGTGCTGGTATTTCAACTACAATTCACCACTTGGACTTCTGATCCATTTTTTTTTTATATAGAGTTGTGAACATCTTGTTTATAGAGCCTCAAGGTCTTTTTGTACAGCATAGCTTGTTTATACAGTACTGTAATTTTTGTTGATTATACTTTTAGTACAGTACTGTAGTTTTATATATTACAATACTACATGTAAGAGTTATGCAAATAAACCAAAGTCATCAAGTTGGAGTTTGCTTTGACTATTTATTTTTTCTGAATATTGGAATGTACAAGCTGTGTGCATTTCCTCATTTAGTGACAATTCATTTAATAATCTCGCTGAAATAGAACTTGGTCATTAAATGAGGATTGTCTGTACTCAGTGTTTGTATCTATTACTTCATTATAAAGGAACTAATACCTGTCCTGTTCCCCAGAAATCATAGCTCAGGCAGAATTTCTAGGTTGCAGTCTTGTAGAGAATGCCTTCTCCAGGAAGCTTTTAAACTTTACTGATTGGATAAGCCCATCCTCCTGCTATTTTTTTTTTTTTTTTTTTTTCAGAAGACGGCATACGAGATGTTGCGGCGTGACTGGAGTTCAGACGTGTGCTCTTTAGACCACTGAGCCATCTCACCAGCCCAGGCAACTAAATTCTGACATGCTGAATCTTTTTTTTTTTTTTTTTTTTTTTTTCTGTTGAAACAGAATTTTGGAACTCAGGATCCTCCTCCCTCATCTTCCCATTGGGGGAACAATAAGCATGCCCCACCACACCCTGCTGTGCTACCTACCCACTTTTGAGCGTAATTTTGTTTACTTAAAATTAACTGATTGTGGGTATTTATTACATTTACTTCACAACTCCTAGAGTAGTGTTTGACTAAGCAGCTGTATGTCCTTATAACAAGGTAACAAAATTAACCAGTGCTATTACTTTAAATTATCCTACTCATTCATTTTCAGAAAAATGGGACTAATGATGGAGATTATGTTTTCCTAACTGGAGAAGACAGTTATCTTAACTTTACAAAGATTGTGGAGTGGAATGGAAAAACGTAAGTCTAATGATTTATTGGTGTAATTTTTTGTTTTTCATTTGTACTAATATACATTAAGAAAATTTAGCATTTATTTCTTGGATAAAAATGTGTAAATATGTAAATATTTTATTATCATGTAAGTCAAGGTGGGGTAATATATTTTGGGGGGGTAATATATTGTACAAATTAAATATTAATGATTTGTAGGCTAGTATTATTATGACCAGGCAGTGGTTATAAGCTCCTGAAATTTCATGTGGTTGGGGAGAGAGCGAGGATTCCTAGTCTCTCTGTCTCTGTCTCTGTCTCTGCTTCTGTCACTGTCTCTGCCTCTTCCTCTGCCTCTGCCTGTCTGTCTCTCTCCTTTTATTTATTAATTTATTTTTGAGACAAGATCTTGCTATATAGTTCAGGCTGGTCTTGAGCTCATTTTGTAGTCCATGCTGGCCTCAGACTCAAGGTGATCCTCTTACCTCAGCCTCCTAAATGCTGGGACTACAGTTGTGTACTACTATACCCAGCCCAGATTTCTTTTTAATTTCATTTCATGAACCTTGTTAATGCATTTTTCTGTAAAGATGAAATACATTTGAATTTAGTATTTAAAAAATTATTTTTTAAAGATTTATTTACTTATTTGGTATAGGATCTCACTATGCAGCTCAGACTCATAGTGATATTCCTGTCTCAGCCTCCCCAGTGCTGGGATTGCAGGCATGTGCCACCATACCCAGTTTTGGTGGTTGGCATGGCTCAGGGGCCAGCAAGGCATGCAGTACTGGGGTTAGAACCCAGGTTCTTGTGTCTACTTAGACTGATGAGCTATCTCCCTGGCCTTGAATTTAGTATTATAGTATTTAGAACATTTTTTATTTTGACAATATAATTTATCAATCAAGTGTCACTGGGCTGAATCTTCCAGGTCCCTGAGGCTGAAATAAGGAAACTGACCCATCTTTTTGTAGAATAAGTTTGTACATTCACTGACTCCTGTTTTAGAAAAAGAATTTTCAGGATGCATAAGAGGCATGGGAAGGGTTTATTAGACAGAGATGTTAGGATGTGCTCAAAAGTGGAGTGTGAGTACTCAGAGAAATAAGACACATTGTTTTCTGGAGCTGTTACCAGGTTTTAGGGTGCTGTGCTCTCCCTCTAGAGGTGGTTCCCAGGTTTGTCTTTTTTGGTCCTGAGCAATGAATTGGTCAATACAAGTGCAAACAGTAGCATGATTTAACATTTATTAAAGGTAGGAAGAGAAACATATCCTACAGAGCAAATTTGAGCCATGTGAAAGTCGAAGAAGTGCACCCTACTGTGTGAGAGGGCCAATGTGGGGTAATACAATAGCAGGGAGACCAGGGTCCTTGTCCTTTTGTATCACCCACTCCTTACGCCAAGCTTAAAGCTAGGCCACCCTGTCTGAACCTGATTGCCTGCTCTCGAGGAGTCCAGGGCAGGACTTTGGGTGCTGCACTGCGCATGTGTCCTGGGATCTTATCATTAACAGCTCATGCCTATTTCACCAGATGATAGGGAACATTTATGCTTCTCTTGGAGGGGTGGAAACCAGACAGTAGGTGGTTCATCCTCTGGAAGGGCAGTAGCCCACTTTATGAGTATGGGAGCTTTTTTAAAAAATTTAAACATTTTTTTAAACTTGTTTGTAGTACATAAAGATTGTATTTGCTGTAGTGATTAGGTACATGTACATAACACAATTTATTCTTTTTCCCTTCTTGCCTCTAATCCCTTTTAATTTCCCAGCATTAGATTCATTTATTCTTTTATCTTGTAAGACCTTATAAAGCTAATTACCATATACAGAGTCCACCAAAACAATGTATCCGTACTTCAGCAGTTCACCTTACTGCTAAACATCTGGAAGCCAATGGCCACTGCACTGAGCACCTCTTGTAACTGTAGAGGCTAAAGGGAACTTATACTCATCTCACCATGTCTCAATAAATTAGTATGAAAATATTTATACAAGTTTTTCTTTTCTTGCTATATATATTTTTGTCTGACTCTATAGATTGCAAAGCAGACTAATAGGCCAAAGAAAATATACAACATGTAAGACAGTTTGTGGTGAATTGAAATATCTTTTGTCATTTTTCCTCTTATTTGTCTTTTATTTCATACTATATGTGTGTGTGTGTGTGTGTGTGTGTGTATCTGTGTATTTATCTACGTATCTGTCATCTATTGAACTTTTCATATAAGAGACACCATGCAATATTTAAACCCGTGTTGATAGAATTAGGTAAAGATAGGACAAAAAAATTGGCAAGAAATAGATAAAAGGAAAAGAAGGAGAAAAAAGAAAGATATTATATCGAGAGGAAAAACATAAGAAAGTAATTAAGGAAAAAAATTAAGTGAAAGGAGAAAAAAAAAAACAAATAAAAGAAGAGATTAGAATAGCTCAGTGGACTGAGCGCCTGCTTAGGCAAGTGCAGGGACGGGGTTTGATCCCCAGCACCACCAGTGGCACTGGCCCTGCCCCTGGAGCCGGCCCAGTGTGGTGGCATATGCATATAATCCCAGCTCTGGGGAGGCTAAAAACAGGAGGATCACTACCATTTGGAACTGTGTAGTGAGACCCTCTACCAAATACATTAAAAAAGAAGAGTTTAGAAACAAGTTTGAAGGACAAAGAAAGATTACTCAAGTCCCAGGAAATTGGCAAAGAATATAGGAAGAAAGAAAAAAAGAAAACCAAAACAAAACCAGCCAGGGATACAGCTCAGTGGTACAGCACCTGCCTGACAAGTGTAAAGCCCTGAGTTGTATTCCTGATACCAAAAAAAGAAAAAGAAACAAAGAAAAACAAAACAAAAAACCTGCACCTAGGGGGCCTGCCCCTTAGCTCAGTTCTTTTAAGTGGCTGCTTCAACAAAGCAGTCAGGCTCAGGTTGCTGTGGTTTGATCCCCACAACACAAGACAGCCAGTCATGCCTTGAAGGCATTCGGCGCAAAAAAACAAAGCAAAACAAAAAAAACCCTGCACCTAACTGAACAAAAACAATAACAACAACAACAACAAAAACCCCAAAGCAAAAACCCAGAAATTTCTCTGTGATTTTGAGCCAGTGGTTATCTTCTCAGGTATATGGTTTCCTGTCCCTGCTCTCTCTGGTAGACAAAGGAGGCAATCACAGCCCAGAGCTGTGCTGGGTAATCATCAGCAAGCTGGCTGTAGATTAGGGCAGGGTGTTGCTTCTGGGACCTTGAAACCCAGTGACATTCAGGCTGAAGTTGGCCTCTGGTCATGAGGGTGTGGCCTGAGTCATTTAGCTTGTAACATCCTGGGGTCACTTGCCAGCCTGACCCTGGCTCCCCGACCCTGGGCATCTCCAGTGAATGTCCCTCACCCAGTCACTGAGGGAGTTTAACACTGGGAGCCTTAAGATAAAGCTGTCCCCTGGCTGCCCTGAGGCCAGGCTCTGTTGTCCATCCCCAGGATGGCATCGGATCAAGCACTGTCCAGGGTATATGGTAGGTACTTGGACTGGATTCACTGCTGTTGTAGTGCACAGTGGCTCATTCCATTGGTGCATTTCTCTCTGAAGGCCTCTGAAGTCCCCTACTTTCATGGTTTCTATACTTCCCTTTGTTTTTGAGGGGTGCTAAGGGGGAGAGTACCAGGAATCAAATTCAGGACTCAGACAGGTGCTTAAACTGCTGAGCTATCTCCCCAGCCCCCCACTGTTTCGATGTAGATTCAATCTTCCTTTCTCATGTCACATGCTAAGAGTCTGGGGAAAAAGTATAGGTTAGCCCTTCCTCTTTCTGCATTGTGTTCTTTCTCTTCAGTTTTTCTCTAGGCTCCAATTGTCCCATTAGATCGATCGATTGATCAATCTCTCTCTCTCTCTCTCTCTCTCTCTCTCTCTCTCTCTC